TTCAACACCTTACATATGCTCTGAAACCAACACCTGTGGACATATTAGACAGGGAACTTTCATAGATTCATAGACTGTAAGGGATCTTGGAAAATCATTAAGTCCAGCCTCCTGCACCAAGCAGGAAAGACAACTGGAGTCACGTGACCCCAGCAAGGTGACCATCTAGTCTCCTCTTGAAGATTTCCAGGGTAGGCGATTGCACAACCCCTGGAGGGAGCTTATTCCACAGTCTGAACACCCTAGTTGTGAAGTATTTTTTCCTCATGTTGAGCCTGAAATGGTCTTCCAGGAGTTTGTGACCATTACTCCTAGTTTTCCAAGTGCCCTGGTGAACAGATGCTCACTGAGCCCTTGATGTACGCCTCCAATGTAGTGGTAAGCTGCTACCAAAGTCCCCTCTCAGTCTTCTCTTTTTCTGGCTGAAGAGTCCCAGATCCCTCAGCCTTTCCTTGTATGGCTTGCTGCCCAAGTCTCTGATCCTACAGGTGACTTCTCTGGGCTCTCTCAAGCTTTACCACATCCTTGTTAAAGTGCAGCACCCAGAACTTCACATAAGTTATGGGTCTCTGAAAAATTAGGATTCCCTCCCCCACTGCTTTTACTTTAAAACAGCTCCCTTGCAGCCTGGCTACATCTGTCAGCAAATAACTGTTTTACAGGTGCGACAGCTTCAAATTTGAAGTTTCCACAGGAATAGGATTCAGCTGACAAGCAGCCACTACCTTTATTCAGCAGTTTAAACCCCTTACAAAGCATGCTTAAAAAAGACTATTTAATCTGTGCTAGTGTTCGAGAACCTGAAAATGGATACTTAGGGCTAGAAGTGCTTTTCAAATAGCTTAGAACCTGTTTGGCTTGAAATAGGGTGGGTAAACTTTCATTGAACTACTTCACAAAAGATGGCTTTTCACCCAAATATGAAAGTCGGAGAAGTCCATTACAGGAGGGTTTTGGCTTTTTTTCTTTAAACTAGAACTAAGCAACTCTTTAGACTTTGCATAGCTAAATCCTATTTTGTCCTGCTTCCTTAAATTCAGTTAATTTAAAAATTTGCAAGTTATCAAAGTTAAATGATAAAACATAAAAAAAAGTCAGTGACCTCAAAAGATTAGGGGAGGACAGTACTGAAGTGTACAATCCAAACCCAGAGGAAAGAGACAAAGTAGGTGATGACATAACCAAGGAACACACTCATCCATGAAATGTTTTTATTTGGAAATACATTTAGCAAGCCAAATGGTGAAAGGAGCTGAAGGGAAATTTTCTGAAGAGGCAACTTAAAACTTATTCCTGTCCCAGAGGCTCTTCATGGCTCCTGCGTGGTTAATACAAAGCTCAGGACTTTCTGTAGTCCTCTAAGCTATTCACTGCTTTTAAAAAGAATGCATATTCACAAAGAATTACCAAGACTTTGTTCCCTTTTGTTTATTTGATTGAGCATGTATAAACACTTAGGTACTAAATAAGTGATGCAATTACTCCTTACTACAAGTGAATGATTTGCATATCAAAGCAGTGCCAAAAGATAACCTGGCATCAGAGACAATTAATACTCTGTGACTCAACAGTAATTCAGCCCTTTTTACTCAGTGAGAGGAAGGGAGAGGATGATAAAATTAAGCAACTCCTGCAATAAACATTTATAACAGGGGTACTCAACCTCTGGCACCACATTATCTAGCCCACAAGGCTCTTTACAGGTCTTAAATATGGCAGTGGAGGAGTGGTGGTATTACTCCCATGCTAACAAATCTTCTGACTGGTGGGGAGCCCTAGGCCCTGTGTGCTGGACCATGCTACCTCAGCCCTGAGCACTGGGATTGCCAGGGGTGGAGGCGGTGCCAGACCCTCAGTACCCAATCCTGGCACACAGGGGGTAGGTTAGGACAGTGTGGGGTCCCAAGGCTCAATCTGGCCCACATTGCTCAATCAGGGTAGACTTAGACAAGCTTCCATATGCAGGGCATTCTTTATTTGGGCCCCCACAAAAATCCTTGCCTCACATTTCCTGGACCAACAAAGCTACATGATCACTCCAACACTACCAATATTATAAGGAAACAAAAAAAACAAAACACCTATTTGTAAGATTTGAAAGTTGTATTTAAAACAGTCTCAAAGTATCTACTGAGTATGATGTGGTTTTGCTGGCTCAGCTCACTCTTAATTTTAGAGGAAATGAATATCTGGAAAGCATGTCAGTTCAGGAAGTTACAAAAAAATCTGGGCAAAGATTACTCTCCATCAAGTTTTAAATTGATTAGAAAACTAGTAGGTAGAATAAAAGGAGCCTCACATACAAAGAGAAAAACCAGAATTTCTAGTATAAACAGGTATAAACCAGTCTGCTGTAACACTGGTGATATGATAAATCAAGTAAGAACCTGTATGCAAAAGTCTTACTATATTCATAGAAAACAATCATCGTAATAGATTTAGCTCAATACAAAAAGATAGTTAAAGTTTAGAGACAAGGCCTACCTCAGAGTCCCATTTTCTCCTTTGTCCAGGCTGGTAAACCGGCTGTACAGACGGGTGATCTGACTGTGGGAAACTGTGGAGAAGAAAAAATTAGACAAATTAATATCAATCCTATATACAAATAGGCCCAGTACCCTGAGATAGACAGACACAGTAAAACAAGCTGACTTCTGCCCCTGGACTTGATCTTCCGAGGTCCCTTCCAGCCCTAATGTCCATGAAATCTATCAAGCTTGCAGCTGATTTTGCATCACTGTCTGGGTGGTGCCTCCTTCTCACCACCCCCAGGAACAAATTCAGGGTTCTTGCAAGAATCTAGGCATTAGAGACATTAGAGTGCACATGCGTATGACCCAACAGCCTATGGTCCTTGAAAGGAAGTTCTGAAAAACTATCCACAGAGACAACAGTCTTACATCAGTTTGTAAGACTTGTCTGTATTAAAGCCAAGACAGACTCCAATATCGGTCTCTCTACCCTGAACCATAAGTATTAAGCTCTAGAAATCATTTTGGAACAGTGCACATGGAAACAATCACTCTCCAAATCCACAGTCAAGTTTGAGGCGTACAGGCTCTATACTTCAGCTGTTGTAGAGTTCACTATATAAAGCCCTCATGAAAACCCCAACATCCATTTATTGTATTGTCTGTACAGTGACAAACTAAACCTCTCTTCCATACCCATTAAAGCCTTACAAACCATAATTTAAGCCAAGATACTTCCTCCTAGAAAAAAAATCTAGCCAGGAATGGCTTTGAAAGCAAAGTAGCAGTAGAGAATGCACCAAGCCACTCTTCCATAAAGATATGCCTGAATCCAAATCCATTTTTCAAACCTAATTGCTGCAATGTTTTCCATCTTTGGTAACACATTTAAATTAAAAATACATCACTAAAAACTATCCCACACAATAAATGAACATCCCTCCCTCCAAAGGCAACCCACTTTATAGAGCAGGATAATAATATTCTCAGGTCATGAAGACCAACATAACACAACTAAAACCAGTTATTAACTGCAGACTTGTTGGGCGAGTAATCAAAATTACAAAATCAAATCGGGCCAACTATAAAAAGATACTGGTAACCACAAATGACACGGCACTGCCAAAAACTTAAAGGGTGCACCGATAGAGATTTTTGGAGCCGATACCAATAGCCAATTAAGGAGGCATGTTGGCTGATACCAATTCGATTTCCAATGCCAGCCTGGCAGTGTGGAGAGCTGTGTGCAGCTGGTAAGTCTGGTATGGTGGAAGGGGGGGAGGGGGGGGAAAATCAAGGCCGCCATGGTGAAGGAGGAGTGGTGTTGGGGCAGGGGCTGCGGCAAGCACTGCCCAGCTGGGGCAGGGCTGCTGTGGGATGGAGCCGCAACTCGTCCGGCAGTCACAGGGAGAGGGGCAGCTCCTGCTACTGCACACCACTGGTCCAGGAGCTGCAGGTCCAGCAGCTCACCTGTTCATCCAGCAGCTCCTGTGGCTCGTCCAGGAGGGCATGGGGTGGGGGATATGCCCCCAGATCTGTGTGGGGCAGGGCAGGCTGGGGCTGTGCCAAGATCTTCCCGGTGGGGCGAGGCTGAACATGGGGCTGGTGGCAGCAGTGCTGGGAGGGGGCTACAGCATATTTTGGGGTGGCTGCAGCCGCCCCGTAGCCCCCTCCCAGCACTGCCGATGCCAGCTCCACTGGGAGAAGCTTAGTGTAGCCCTGGTCCCAACCCACCCCACACAGATCCAGGGGTATCTGCTGCCCCCTCCCCCCCCAAACAAGTGGCAGGGCTGCTGGGCAAGTGCTGGATGTGCCGCTAGACCAGTGGCTCCCAGCCAAGTGGCATGCAGCGGTGAGAGCCGCCCCACCC